TTCTGCATAGATTTTGCATCATTCCTTATGTTCTACCAGTTTCTTGACAGCAAACTGTGCAACTATATTACAGGTCAAGCAGAGAGGAAACGGTCATCTAATGGGTTACCAAAGAAAGGCAATTGCTGCATTTGCCATGAAGTGAAAGTCGACTCACTTTTGTACAGGTAATTAACTTGTTTGTGAAGCTAAGGCTTCCCATCTGAATTTCAATTCTTCATTTTAATTTTGTGCTGGCTTTACTCATCTGTTGAGATATAATTTCTTATTTTGCAGGTGTGGGCACATGTGCACCTGCCTCAAGTGTGCTCATGAGTTGCAATGGAACAAAGGAAAATGTCCGATATGTCGAGCTCCGATTGTGGATGTCGTGAGGGCACACATGGATTATTAGACTGCTGGTGCCTGGTGAACGAGTTCTTGCTTCAGAGGACCGTCTTTCTTTCTGAAAATCAACATAGTGAAGCACACACTGGAAGAGGAAGCTAATTTATTCATCTTAACTATTGTCTACATTTCATTTTTGTAAATGTCAAGTCATGGAACATCATACCTGGTTTCTCTTTTCCACATATACTCTTGTGTATGTTTTTTGAGGAGAGACCGGAACTAACAAACTCTCTATTCATCTTTTTATATACAATTTGAAAAACAAAAAAGGTGCCTCTTTTAGGAAACATGCTTTCTTTATATCTGTCTACATTAACAAACAGATTCTTGTTCTGAACTGACCATGATAAGAGATATGAACTATTGTCTACTTTTCATTTTTGTAAATTTTACTTTTTCTGCAGAGCAAAATAGTACCTGACTGATACCGCATATACGTCAAGGTTGCTGTAATCAACCGATCTAACATGTATTTAAAAATTTACATGAGACTCGCCGTTGCAAGAGTTCATATTTCTTGTAAGGGTAAAAGAGCATAAATAAACAAACCTTATGGAAGCAACTAATAGCAAGCTCTACTTTTCATAATGCATGCCAAGCATTCAATCAAGCCCAGTAAATCTTTTCCTTATCAACCTAGCCAAGTACAATTGTTGGTGTAACTTTACTGTTCTAGTGTACGATTATTGTGGGAGCAAATTTCGTCCCACGAGAATATTCGTCTAAGATTCCTGTCTTCCTCTTCGTTGTCTCTTTCTTCTTGCAAAATAAATCGGAATAAGAGGACCATACCTCGGGGTGTTGGCCAAAGGCCCTCCGATGTCTAAGTGGGTTCAAGTGTTTGTAGGAAAACAATAGCAAACAAAAAGGGTACGGAGATACGGAGATGTATGTATGTTGTGAACCGGGTAATCGGAGCCATGTGTGGTGGAAGCCTTGTGTGAGAAGGAGAAAGAGTTATGGCGGCTAGGGTTTTGGAGATAGAATTTCTGCAGTATTTTGAGACAAAAGTTTAGACTTAGGTTTAGAATTACCTCAAGCCTTGGTGTAGCCATGTATTCATAGGAGCCTTAGAGGCTAGGGTTTCGGAAGAATAATTACACATATATAAAGGAATTATTCTTCCCCAATTTAGAGAGATTGACATAATTAGGGATTTGATTTAAATCAAATTCCTAATTAGGGTAAGAATCGAATAATTGCCAATTGAATCAAATAACTTCCAATTAGGCCAAATAATCCCCAAATGGAAGGAAATATTTGACCTAGGGTTTGGCTAAAATTCGGTTCCCACAATTATGATGTGAAGGTTTGCTTACCAATTCGCAGAAACAAACAGAATAACAAAATTATAGGATCTTGCTGGGAACTTTTACCTTTTTACGTGCAAAGTAACCAAAGAAGATGCCTAATATTTTACATTATCTTTTCTGTTCTATGTGTTGAAGAACAACCATTTCCGACCTCTAGCTGCTTCAAATGGTATAGCTATGAGCCCATGTTCGTTGTCTTTTTTTGCTGCATCTGCACATGGTTGATCAAACTGTAAATATTTTAAATTGCCTGTGGACCAGATATCTATTTATTTTCTTCTTCACGGATTGGTCTTATCTAAAAATTAAAATGCTGGCCCCTGGGAGATGCCAGCAGCCCAGAAAGCACCAAGGTCGACATCTTAGGAGGAGCACATACGTGGGAGATAGACACAAGGACAAGGGCAACTAAGCCCCTTTCCTTTCAATGTAATTAAGAGTGCCTCCTAACAACTCATCATACAGGCCAAGGCATCCATTACTAATTTATTATAAATTTTTCTTGTTATTTTCTGCTCTATTTTTTCAACAGATTTATTCACTAATTAGGCTACAGTAAGAAGAACCAAGTGGTCTCAAGTGATGACAATCTTCAGTTTTGAACATATTCTTTTGACACTTAGCAAGGAAACAAATTTGAAGTTACCAATTCTATTATAAACAACATCATGGTTTTCAAATTGCTAGATTTGGCTATAATTTACATGCTTATTGAGCCAAATATTGGAGGGCACTTCAACATATTTAATGATCAACAGCTCTCTTTCC